GCAATCCCCGGCACCTCTAAACCCCTAAACCCTTAAACCCTAAACCCTAAACCCCAAACCCCTAAACGCTAAACCCCTAAACCCCTAAACCCCTAAACCCTAAACCCTAAACCCTGAGTCCGCCACTCTCCTCCATAGCGTCTTTGGCCAGCCGCAGTGTCTCCTCCAACTGCTCTCGGATCAGCTCCTCGAAGCGGGCGCGCGTGATCTGGCAGGAGAAGTCGTGGCCCTCCTGAGAAGCGAAGCCATCCAACCCTAAAGCCCTAAAAAGCCCTAANNAAGCCCTAAACCCTAAACCTTTGGCTTTGGGTTCCATGTAGGCGCCTTAAAGACTTACCCAGATTAGCTTGGGGTTGCTTATTATAACTATAACTATAGTATAATGTGCCCATTATAGTTGTTATTAAGGCCTCAGAGCAGGCCAGAGAACTCCGAGTTCTTCAAGGGCCGCTCTATCGGGCTCTATTTGGGTGGTTCTCTAAATTAGGGCCCCTTTTTGGGTGCCCAAAATAGTACGGCACCCTTATGAAGAGGACCCAAAATTGGCCCTAGTCTAGAGAACTACCCATATCGGGCTGACATTGTTGCTTCTGTGACTGGGTTGCAATCCGTGTTCTGGCCAATCGGCGGATGCCGTTTGCAGGCTTCTTCGGGCTTTCTCTCTCCGTTCTCAGCAACCTCGACAATCACCAACCCCCCAGGTACCTACTATATAGGGCCCTAGGGGCTCTAGTACCCTTTATGGTAGGTACCTGGGCGGTTAGGGAATGATAAACCCTGCACTTGTTTCTCAAACTCCTCCCGAACTCGTTCGCACGGTATCCCGAGTAGCATTCAACTTCCAAGACCACAAGAACACTAAACCCTAAACCCTAAACCCTAAACCCCTAAACCACATCATGATCTTTCGAGAGACAAGCATCGACCAACGAGTCAACTTCGATCACAGCCTGGATGTCGTGGCTTAGCCTGCCTCAAGGGGTAAGATGTGCAATCGTCACTCTGGCTGGATTTCGCGTTTGAGTGCACAAGGTTCTGCGCCATCTCCATGCAGCATGGTTTGTGAACTGCAACCCTTAAGTGTTTTGGCACATCAGTGTCCATCACTGATCCTCGAAATGCAACGGGATGTGCTTGACCTGTCCGGCGCTGCTGTTTTATTGTTTTTCCTGCTGTTGTTGTTGTCGGTGATGGTGGTGGTGGTGGGGGTGGTGGGGGCGGGGTTGGGGGCGGCGGCAGCGGCAGCACGGGTGGTGTCGTCGCTGTGCTTCGATTACCTCTTTTGCTAGAGCTGAGCCCGCGGCACTTTGCTCGCTCGCACGCTTTCTGAAGCCGACGGAGAGCTCTTGGTCGTGCACGGAGGTCCACACCGGGGTGCTCCCGGGAGAATTGCGCTAGGCAGTATTCCTCGGCTAGGAACTCCAAGAAGCATAATAATCATGGCAAAAATAATACTTGCTTTGCCAGCAATTCCGTCGATTAGGACGACGATAATAACGCCTTGCCTAATCATCCAGTCATGCGGTTCGAAGCCACGGGTCCAGATGCATACGTGGTGTTCTTTTGCTTGTCATGCGCATGCGATCAGATACTCCGGAAGACACTGAAACATAGCAGCATAACCCTTCCCTAATTGCATTTCATGCATTCAAAGGCACCAGCAAACGTCCATCCAAGTCCTCCACAGCACTGGCGCGACCCAAGAAGTGGGATTTCTGTGGTACCTTCTTCCGTACCATCCTATCATCAGAACTGGTGGCATGTTCTACATCTGAGAATGACTCATACCACTCCTAACTGGTCCTAACTACTAATGCGAAGAATAGAAATGCTGCTTTTACTCTCATGGTTGCTAGTTCTACTGCTGGCTGCTGTTGCTAATGTGAGTCCTTTTGCCACGTGCGTGCTTGTGGTGTTGTTCTATTTCAACCATTGCCGATACTGTCTTTGGGACAGTTGTATCGGCGCCACTAATAAACAACGGAAGCCCTAAACCCTAACCCCTAAACCCTTAAACCCAAATCCCTAAATCCTAACCCTAAACCCTAACAAACCCTTACCCCCTAAACCCTAAACCCCAACAAGGGGTCTGCCCGCATCGCTGAGCTGCTAGGACTTCTCCTACGCAGAGCCCTTTAGGGTTTAGGGTTTCGGGGTTAGGGTCTAGAATCTCCTTAAACTGAGAAGAAATCCTGGTTTGGGTTTGAAGTTCCCGGCAGAAACCCTCCTGAACCTTCCGCACAGTGGAGGTCTAGATTTCTGCATTATCGATGAGCCTCCTACTTCAAGATTTTGCAAACACTTCCGTGCAGGTTCTGAAGCTTCCGTCGGCTTCACGATGTTCTGGATCGCTGGCAACATGGTCCTAACACAGCATCACGCAAAACCCGAGACTATAGCGTGTTGGTTCCCGAGTCCTCGCCACCATGGCGAGCAGAACCGGCGGTGGACTTGATCCTCGAAGTTCGTTATTGACTAGGTCTAAGCCTACATCGCTACCGCCTAGACCTCGGGGTAGCTTGTTTTCTCTGCTAGAGCCTACTTGTACTGCAGGTGCTTGCGATCTGGTGCTGCAAGTGGATGGCGCCACGCTTCTGTTCTTCAGCGCCGACCTTCCCTAGATGTGATAGAGCATCGTGACAAGGCAGGTTGAGGGGTGACACAGCAATGGACACTCTCATCTTACATGCGGTATGTTTGAAAGAACCGTGAAGCTTGGAAAGCCGAAGTACGCCAGCACCGAGCCTCCAGCATAAACCCTTTTTGAAGCCTTATATTGCAAGCTTATAGTAGTTGCGGGACCGAGCAACTCTTCGGGTTGTCTGGGTGAGAAGCAGCCAGCTGGCGATGAAACGAAAGCCCACAGGATAGGATCTTGAAACTGAGGTCCATGATAGCGTAGTTATATAGGGACAAGTTATTAGCAATAATCAGACTGCTTAGGTATGAAAATGCTGAATGGCTCGACTTATGTCTAGGGCCCCATGGCCCACTGAACGGGTGGAAGCTGATGAGATCACAAGCGCCCTACGGTAGTCCACACCACGCAGGTAGACCTCGCCAGCTGCACACCAGGGCACTCGAAGATGCCGTCCTCGATCGTGAGGACGGTCACGTCCGTGGAGCAGCCCCCCATGTCCTGAAACTTTCGATGGTTCGCTGGAGTTCAACATCACGGTTTGGAGTTTAGGGTTTGTGGTTATGGTACAAGGGGGACAAGTTCCACAACATGGACAAGCCCACTCCTGATCCGGAAGACCTGGCTGCGATCTTTTCCGGCAAGCTTCCGCCAAATGACGTCATTTACCACCCCCCCCCTAAACGAGGGTATAATGTAGGGGCCTGAAGAATCGCAACAGCTTGTTGGGGCATCTTGAAGCATGACTATATCAGGACTATAGGGGATGCTGTCACTGATTGCTCCGAACCCTCATCTGCGGCAGGCTGCGACCAACACCGCATTGCGCTCGGACTCATGATACCTCGGCAAGGAACTTAGGATTACAGGTTTTTTGGGCGGTATAGGGCGCAAGAACACGGTGCATGTGATTCACACATGAGGTGGAATGCATACCTCAAAACCCCAAACCCTAAACCCCTAAACCCTAGACACTAAACCCCTAAACCCTAAAACCCCTCAACCCTAGACACTAAACCCCTAAACCCTAAACCCTAAGCTCTAAAATCCTAAACCCTAAACCGTGCTCTGTTTGGAGATGGTAGGTCAGAGCGGCTTGTCCAAACCCAGGGCGATGGCAGCTGAAGTCGGCTCGTTGATGATCCTGCGAGGCACTAGTAGTAATTTTTGTGGGGTTCAGGGTTCGAGGTTTATAGGGTTTAGGTTTAAGGTTTAGGGTTTAGGGTTTAGGGTTTAGGGTTTAGGGTAATTTTTGGCAATCATAATGGTATTAACAAAAAGGATAGTAGTCAACTTTCAGCAATCATAAATAGTACTAACAAAAAGGATAGTAGCAATTTTAGCAATCATAATTTCTAATAGTCTTAACCAAAAAATAATTTCTAATAGTCTTAACCAAAAAATAATTTCTAATAGTCTTAACCAAAAAATACTAGTAATATCCTGACCTTTTTTCCTAAGTTGTGCACCTTCGGGCCGAGGCAAGCAGGCATGAAGTGTGCACTCTGCGCTCAAGGACATGGGAGTTTCAGAAAATTAGGGGTACCTTATTTTGGGGTCCTTATAATAGGGATCCTATTATTTAGGGTACTATATTAGGGTCCCCTATTCTCGGAAACTCCTTATAATAGGGATCCGATTATTTAGGGTACTATATTAGGGTCCCCTATTTTCGGAAACCCCCACATGACAACCGGAGGGGTCCTGAGCACATTGAAGCCCGCGATGGCCCCGGCGTCTTTTGCGGCCTGCAAGTTTCTTCCACTCTTAACCCTAAACCCCCAGGTACCTACTATATAGGGTACTAGAGCCCCTAGGGGCCCTATATAGTAGGTACCTGGATTGGGGATTGGCGTGATGTCGGATTGGCAATTCTATTCTTTTGCGCTCAATATCATATATATCCTCTTCTTGCATCTTGATTGCACGGTTGGCAGATCCGTTCTACTGCTACATGTACGTCAGTAAGAAGATGCGTATGACTGCTTGCGTAGCCACTTTCTCCAACGGGTGAAAGCTGTTTCTGATACGGTTGGTGATATAAATCCTGCATTACCCATAATAAGTAATATACAATAACTCCCATATTTTAAAATCCTTAAGGTAACGCAGGATGGATATCCTCAACAGTAGTTCTCATTGTTCGGTGATGTTTGTTATCGAAAGCGCGGCGCATGATTTTTCCCTGGAGGTGGTTGACCAATTTCGAAACTCCAAAACACCCCCCCCAATCCTAAACCTTAAACCTTAAAGACCTTAAGAGCCCCAAACCTAAAACTGCATAGTGGCAGTCCTTTTCATCTACACTTATAAACCGTGTCATTGCTTTCTGTTTTCTTGTTGTTGATGCTCATAATAAAAAAAAGTCAGAACATCATTCCTAAACCCTAAGTCATCGATACTAGCTTAACCCTAAACCCTAAACCCTAAACCTAAAGGTTTAGGGTTTAGGGTTCAGGGTTTGAGTTTGAACATCCCTGGCCTGGCGCTGCGCGTCGTTGAAGGATGCCGGTACCGTCAGAACGGCGCCGATGGACTGGCTGTGCGTGTTTAGGGATTTAGGGTTTAGGGTTTAGGGTTTAGGGTTCAGGGGTTTAGGGTTTAGGGTAAATCTCTGGGTTGAGGGATTCGGGACCGGTGTAAAGCCACAGTGTAAGACTACATGCTATGCGTTCTTTCATGGACTGTAATGTGTACTATACAGCAATACATCAACATATATTCTCATATAAGGCTATAATACCCTAAACCCTAAACCCTAAACCCTAAAACCTAAACCGTGGCTCTATAGCCTCAGGGGTAGAGAGGATTAGGGTGCACCGGGTTTTGCTCGGAGCTTGGGGAATCGGGCCGGTTCAGCTGATCTCGCTGTGGCTTGTGCTGGCTTCTTGTGGTTGGGGTTGACCCCCAAACCCTAAACCCCAAACGGGTTTAGGGTTTAGGGTTTAGGGTTTAGGGCGTGTTTAGGGCTTCAGGGTGTTTGCTCTGGAGTCGTCCATTCAAGTCCTGCTCGTCATATGGCTCATCGAGATTCCTGTTGTCGGTTTAGGGTTTAGGACGGAAGCCCTGACTCAAGGTTCCGAAGTCTTCAAACAATAAGCCTGATTCGTCCTCGGCTCTAGACTGATGGCTTGTTCATCGTAAGCAATCAGCCCTTCAGGTTCAGGCTTGAAGCAAGTTGTTCTGATTGACTCCTCACCCTCTTGTTGCTCTTACTCCTACTCCGCAGGGCTCCTTATCATACGATAGTTAATACCCTTAGTCTTTGATCTTGTTGTCTGCAGAAACAGACATCCTTCGTGTCCGCAAGGCCAGTGTGCTCAACGATCGTGTTCTTTAGCTCACCTTGGAATTCAGGCGAGGGAGAGTGTTGGGGCCTGCGGCGCTTCAGGTCTACTGTAGGGTGTTAGTGTCGGGTTTCGGGTTTGGGGTGCCAGGTGGGGATCAAGGTTCTGTGACTGCCGGGTTTAGTCTGCGCGCTCCCCTTCTCTTGACAAGAACAGTGGAGCCAAATCAACTTACATAGCCCGAGTTGCAAACAAAGGCTGTAATCAAAACACCGATTCTAAGCAGTAGCACCAACAATGAAGACACTCGCAACAGACCAAAGAACGCTGAGAATCATAGTGCTGACAATCTTACAGTGGCTTTGAGTCTTTGGCTTCTTCGGCCCTTCGGCTCAGAGATTTCATCTTTGGCGGGTTTGGGGTTGTGGCCCTCGTGCGTAGCAGATCTTACGAAGCTGCAGACGCACAGGGCTGCAGTTTGAGGAGAACGGTTCAGGCCTTGCACCTAATATAGGGGCCTTACAGTAACAAGTAGAATAATTAGGGGTTTTGGGGCCCATTATACGATATAGTTATAATGAGGAGACCCCCCCAAAAAAATTGTATTGGCAATTATTTTAGGCCCCAAGCGTAGGATGACCTAGAGCTCTCATGTGCTCGGTAGGCCTGCGCTCACTGCTTCTTTCAGGCCCCGAGGCTCTTCCCCGAAGTAAGACTTATCAAATCCTTAGTATATACTTGGTTAAACAAACAAACGGGACTACAATGGAGACTATAGGTAGGATAACACATCACAGTCTTGCTTAAGACAAGCCAATTTCATATCATCTTTGGCAACACTATGGTATAATGGTTGAGGGTTTCCTGCTTGAGAGCTGGATGACGAGACTGGCATGTTTCGAGGGAGTCTAGGAGCCGTAACAGTTGGAGTAGGGGTTGGTTTAGGGTTTAGGGTTTAGGGTTTAGGGTCCCTAAACCCTGCAGGGCATAAGCGGACATGACTACTAATCATGGCAACACCTTGAATGAATGGCTTTGCACGCTAGTGCTCCGGCTGTTCCGCTGTTGGCGGGGGCACAAGACTTTCTCATCGGCATCGCACGAAGCCGTTGCCCTGAACCCTAAACCCTAAAACCCCCCTAAAACCCAAAACCCTAAACCCAAAGCCCTAAACCCTAGAACCCTAAAACCCTAAAACCCTAAAACCCTAAACCCTAAACCCTAGAACCTCGGAATCCAAGCTGCGCAAGATGAGCGCCAGAACTTCTTCAGGATAAAGGAGCTTCCTGGAAGTGGCTTTCTTAGCTCCGGGGATTCACGGCTTAGGTGTTTTAGGGTTAAAGGTGTGAGGCAGGGGCTCTATAGGGTGCGAGGTTGGGGGTGTAATTAGGGCATATAGGGTTTCGGGTACAAGGTTCGGGGTTTCGGGTATGTGTTTTTTTTTTAAGTGCGGTGACGTGGCCCTTTTCCTCCAAGCGAGCAGTATATGGTTTAGGGCTTCGGGTGGGGGGTGCGCGGAAGTCTGACAGGGCGTGAGCTTTGCAAAAAGCCGAGCAAGTACCTGTATGGCTAAATATAGGGGGCCTCAAAAATTACCAATGCTATTTTGGGGGCTCCTTATTATGATTGTAGTAGAGTGTACCCCAATACACCCCCAAAACCCTGTTCTAATTATTAAGGCCCGGAAATTAATTCGAAGCTCCGCTTCGCCCCTCTAAACCGAACCTCCAGGCTTCCCAGGAATGCACATGGCAACCCTTTGAACCCTACAACCCCTCAATGCACAAAAGAAAGACCCATGGACCCTAGCGCCAGATTAGCTGCTCTTCTTCGCCCCAGCGGACAGGAATGACAGCTTGCTGGTTCTTGCCCTCAACGACCTGAAGATGCGCTTACTCGTGCTCTTCGGGCTGATTTCTGGGGGTCATGGGCATAGGCTATGTGTATATATCTATCTATTTACTTACCTCCCTACCTACTTAGCCAGCTAGCTAGTTGGCTAGCTATCGATATATCTTTATGTACAAATACATATTTTGAGACACATATAAATATAGTGTGTATATATATATATCTCTATATATATATATATACTTGTAAGGAGATGTACATGTTTTAAGGCTTAGGGTGTAGGGTTTAGACATGAACTTGTCACGGCAAATACCAGACTTGTCCGAAGTTTTTTGGGCCTCTGAACCTCAACTCAGCTTCCCGGACAACTGCTCAACCCAGGGCCATGTTAGGCGTCCATACAGGGGCATAATGTAGGGGCCTTAACAATTAGAATAGGGTCAAGGGGTATACTATACCATCATTCCTCTAAGGAGCCCCCAACACCCTACATAATTATAGCAAGGAGCCCCCAAAACCCTGTTCTAATTACTAAGGCCCCTACATTTATTACTGCTCATAACAACCCGAGCATGAGTCCACGGAGACCTGCACTGAGCAAAGGGACCCAAGAGATTCCGGAGATCCTGCCGCACAGATGCCCGGGGCCACTCCACAGGCGAAACACGACAGTCTGCCAACACACTACAGCTGCGAGATTGAAGCTCAAAGAAGCTCAAATGCAAAACAAACACTCACACCCTACCAAACGGCATGGTTAAAGCCCTATGCTCTATCCTATGCGTCCAATCAAGCCCACAAGACACAAACTAAGACACTGTGCGCCCTGAGCCCAGTTCTGCCCCAGGGGCCCGGAACGGGAGGTGCCGGAGGTCTTCGGCCAAGTCGGGGCTGTTCCATTTCCGTCCCAACAGTCGCTTCACACCGAAGACCTCACACACTTCGGTTAGGTTTAGGGTTTAGGGTTTAGGGTTTAGGGTCATCATGACGTGAAAACTGCTGGAAGGTACTGATACCACTGGACAGTAACACATACGACCAATGACACGCATAAAATCAACAGGTTCAACACCCGGCAACGGTCAAGGTTGTCGTTGCAATGCCGCTGCAGTTTAGAGCTGTGATCGTGGTCGTGGCAGTGGTGGCGACGGTCGTGAGCTACAGCGAGGAAGGTCTTGAAGGAGATGATCCTAAACCCTAAACCCTAACATGCGGACGTTGCTGTTCTTGTCGTTGCTGCTGAAAGGGCCCGAGATCCTCAAACTGAGCCGAGACCCGGGTTTAGGGTTTAGGGTTTTAGGGTTTAGGGTTTAGGGTTTAGGGTTTCGGGTTTTAGGGTTTACGGTTTTAGGGTTTTAGGGTTTAGGGTTTTAGGGTTTAGGGTTTAGGGTTCGCACTGAGTGCAGGACCAAAGCCCAGAATCTCAATGCTGTCAAGCTGCAATGTCCTCTGGCGGTAAGCCACTCCTTCAAAGCGTCAGATGCTGCAGACCCAAACCAATTTCAAGAAGCGAAGAAAATACATAGTGCACAGTTGTGTAAGAGGATGCAATATACAACACAGCACGGTGCAAACTGCAAAGTGTCTATGTGTATCCACTTGTGCTTATACGCAGACAGGTTGGTACGTAGATATGCATGTGCGCACACACACACACACATTACCTGCAAATGCTGCCTGCCTGCCTCTGAACTAGTACGATTGTCGGCCACGATGAAATCTGAAATGGCAACTGGAAATGTGGAGAGGCACTAGACTCAGCATCCTAAAGAATCATGGTTTTTACGGGAGTGCTTGTCACGCGGGGCACAGCGAACAAACTCGCCATGGAGAGCCAGTGCCCTCATCCGACCATGCATGTGCCATGAGCAGCGACACCGTCATTGGCATGCCGATGCTGGTAAGCGGCGTCTGCGCCGCTTCGCCCACCAAGAGCTGACCATCCTTCTCTCCGAAGGGCACAAATTGGGGCTTGCTGCAAATTTTGTTTGCTTCTTGGGATCCTTCTCATCGTAGCTTCGATCAGCAAGGGTGCGTTTGCAGGAAAGCCCAACCGCTCCAAGTCAAGTGCAGCTGTGTGTGCTTAGGAACCCGGGCAGACAGGAGAATGCCTACCCTTGGAGGACTCCGAGTGCCAAGCAAGATTTCAAGCAATTAAATTAATCCGTCGAAAGCACTGAGAATTGGATGATTCTCCGCGCAAACGATGCACTTCTTGGCCGGGAAATTGCAGGATCCGCATAAATTACACGACAAAACGTAGCGCACACGCTGATACACATACAACACAGAGCTTTATTCCGAGAGTGAAGATGACAACTGCCAGCATGTTGTCTATGGCTTCTCATTGCCATGTTGCCACCCCTCAACATTTTAGTTGCGGTTTTGCAGTGACTGCGGCCCCTTGCCGACAACCGTTGACGCCATATAGCTCGTCTCGATCCGATAAGCAGCACAAGGTATTTGAATTTCAGATATCACATGTCGGGTACTACAGCGCCGATAGACTTCTGAGCACCTGTGAAGGCTCCTGAATGCAATATATACTTTCAGTGCAGAGAATTAAAAGCCTACGAACCCAACCTTTCGATGAGCATGGTGCTAGACATCTTGAGTAGGTGAAGCGGCATGCAACCGCAGACGCTCAAGACACGAGCAAAGTGAGTACAGTCCAAAGCCCGAATCCCCTGCCCTGCCTTCACGGCGATGCAGCAGGGAGTTTCTCGGTTGCCCTGTCCATTGACCAACACAGTGGCACCTCAGCTGTGGTGGCGACAGTCTCTAGAGAAGTCGGCGCCGGACACTGTGAACTTAACTTGGTCGTGAGAGGTGCGTGTTCGATGACACGCTGCTCGGGCAAAAGTGTGGATGCACATCGCTGTTTAGGGTTTAGGGTTTAGGGTTTAGTGTTAGACAAGCAAGGTGCCATCAATCGTGGCCGGGCTCAACCTGTGAACAGGGCAGGCTGTTAGAAACGACGCGGGAGGCTTCAAACGCTTGCTAGAGGGCCTTGCCGGGCCTTTGCAACATGGACGTCGACTCGACCTGCTCTCCTAAACTCTAAGTCCTAAACCCTAAACCCACGGTTTAGGGTTTAGGGTTTAGGGGTTTAGGGTGATTCGGTCCATCAGTCTTCGAACTCACGGAGCTTCCGCAGCACAGTGTATTTGTTGGGAACCTCGGGCCCCTAAACCCTAAACCCTTCCGCGGGACTCCGTGACCGGTTCAAGGAAATGCCGAAATGCTGAGCACCATGAGCTGCCCCTCTTGTGCCCAAGCCCCTCTCTCAATCCAGTACTAGCACCGAAACCCCAGACCCTAACACAGTAACACCCCAAGTCATGCTGTCAAGATGCTGTTCCCTTCGAAAATGGCAACACGCGCATTTGTGGCGCCAAGATCAATGCCACAGTTGCTTCCTGGACAGGCGGAGAGCGTTAGAAAGAGAAGCCAGAATCATGACAAGATGCACTTAAATCCTCTGAAGTCCTGTCGCAGTTGGTGAGTGCCTGCTGCAAAGAAATACGGCAAAAAAAAAAGTTCTTTGGACTTTGGGCCTTCAGTACTTCTTGCATCTCCGAATTTCACCCCTTCCTTAAACCCTAAACCCTGAAACCAAAACCCAAAATCCCAAAACCCTAAACCCTGAACCCTAAACCCTGAACCCCAAACCCTGAACCCTAGACCCTAAACCCTGAACCCCAAACCCTAAACCCTAAACCGCGGTCCAGGCTTTGGAGGCGCAGGTGCTGGCAGGGAGATCCAAGGAATTGGGCGCGGAGGGGCCGTCTGCTCCAAGGGCACCTCATTAGGGTATTTCTCTAAATTAGTGTCCCTTTTAAGGTCCTTTTTGTAAGGGTGCCGTACTATATTAGGGTTTTGGGGTTTAGGGTTTGGGGGTTCAGGGGTTCTGGGTTTGGGGTTTTTTTTTAAATGCAATGCGCCCCCTTTCCCATCTGCACGAGCGAAGGAGCGTACTCCATTGGAGTTGCACCGTAACAAGGGGTCCTGTTGAGAGGAAGAACCCCAACAAATGTGCCAACGATCCTGCTTTTAAGATCCACGACACCACAACGAAGTCAAATGATATAAGACACGTCAAAGCAGCCGCAAAACAGATCTACTTCACTGCCCTTCAGATGACTCAGAAGAACGAGAGCGTCGACGACGAAGTACAGCCAACTCTCCCATTTCCCCATCAGCATCATCGACGTCTACACCAGACACATGGATCTCCCCATTGTCCCGTCTCCAGCCACAAAGCCAGCTTCACCATCGGCAGGCAGGGAAGGAACATCAGGTCCAGCACCGCCAGGTCGAAGACGTGCAGGAGGTACCCCTCGACGTCGTCCAGCGAACCCATACAGCATCCTCCGAAGGTCATCACGCCTGTCACCAGGAGGAGGCGTCCATGACGAAGATGATCCCATTCCCTCCAAAGCTCCTTCACGGCTACGAGAACGCTCCCGAGTATGCACAGGAGTAGCCATTCCAGACATCATCCTCGGTGGCGGGCGTTGGTGTTGATAACGGCGACGACTGGCAACCCCAAACAACTTCCGTTGAACATGCGGGCGCTCCGGCAGTGGTCCTAGCACCGAACTGTTAGGTCGTGCATCCGTAGAAGCTTGAACCATAAACAATTCCTCGGAGGAGGGAGTGGCCGTTGGAAGCAGCGGCCAAATATTCCTCACATGTCGTTGCCAACCACGGCGCCGTAGGCCCGCTAGTTGCAGCGGCGAATAGCCAGGCAGGTCACGCTGAATCTCACCCCTCGACGGGAGGGTCGGATTGAGCAGTACCACCGGCGAAGTAACCTCCACTCTGGGAGCAGCTCGAGAACCACTGGAGCCCGAGGAGGCCTGCTGAATGACCTCGTCCCAGATGTTGGCTTCCACCATTGCAGCATTCAGCGGATATGCCTCCCGGGGTTGAGGGAGCCATGACGCGATCTCTTCCATGGCGACGAGGTTGAGGCGAAGGCAGTGATGTAGACGCCTTTGACGATCTTGCAAGCGCCTCATGACATCAATAACGTCAGCTTCACCGCATTGGAGGAGCTGTCTATTGACCATATCCCTCACTTGTTCCTCAGCATTCGCGAGGGGTAGGGTGGAAGTCGTCGAGGTTGAAGTGGTAGAGCACGTTCCAGTCAATCCCTGAGAGGCCACGATTTCCCAACCCATCTGTACCAGGCCAAAATGGACAACGTTGTCAAAGTCAACCTCACAGCACAGGAAGGCAAACGTTGTTGTAGTCGAAGTGGCCGGGTTGTCAAGGGAGGAAGACGACGAGGACGGCGGTTCTCTCCATATTCCCTGCAAGGTATCCGGCACCGTAATTGTGGGCAGCATGGCTGGCGCATCTTCACCCTCCGTCACCTCAGCAGACTCAAGTTCTTCGGAGCGGTCAGGCAAGGCAACATTGTGTGTGTCACCCGCCATAGCAGACGAGCCCGGGGTTTGGGGTTTAGGGTTTAGGGGTTTAGGGGTTTAGGGGTTCAGGGGTTCAGGGTTTGGGGTTCAGGGGTTCAGGGTTTGGGGTTTAGGGGTTCAGGGGTTCAGGGTTTGGGGTTTAGGGGTTCAGGGTTGGGGTTTGGGGTTTGGGGATTCAGGGGTTCAGGGTTTGGGGTTTAGGGGTTCAGGGGTTCAGGGTTTAGGGTTTAGGGGTTTAGGTCATCACCCAGAGAACCCAATACCCCCTAATTAAGGAATATACCTTAAACCATAATAATAAGGCCCCTATAATTTAAGGTATATTGCTTGATTATGGGGTATTGGGTTCTCTGGGAACCTGATATTCTGGCACAGCATGAAGAGCTGGGAGCTATTGGCAAAGCCAGACCAGTTGCGGAACACTCCGCGCAGTAAAGGCTTTCGTATCTTTGTCACAAGGGCCAGTGTAGGCGGGTAGCCGTATGATTGTACGATCTCCCACTAACTGCCTTCTCTGACTTACGATGACGTCCTAGCCCTGCACCCGCCAGACTTCATGTTCGTGCTAAGCGCATCATCGTGGTCAGGCGAGTTCAACCATGATCCTGCATCAATGCCCCCTGTATGGAAACAATACAGTCTGAGTTTGGTTTGCAGGGTTTAGGCCTTTCTGAGTCTTGAAAGCACGGATGACATAGCCGTACTTTAGCAGGCTTTTGATAGCCGTGCCAGAGGATTTATAGCATCGGCTCGACTCGATGGCCTCTTGTGCGGTTTCCTTTGACCACGCTGGACGCCACCATAATCAACTGAAGCTGTGCCTCGTCCTGCACAGCAATTTGAAGAACGCCACCTGGAGCACTCGTGCTTGCGCCAGAACGGTGTCACCAAGACCTCGCGCCCGGAAATACAAAGCTTTTTTTTCAGCGGCTATGTCAATCCCAAGCCCTCAGATCCTAAACCGTTTGCCGAACCTTAAGGGCTAAGACCTCAGAATAAGCGTGTAGTGGAGAAATCTTTCTGAATGCAAGAGCCCGCTTCCTGAAACGGCAGTTTCAAAAAAAATACTAGACCCGAAGGCAGGATCCTGACCCCTTCAATGTCAGAAACCCAGTAAATCAAGCTTATGGGTAGTTCTCTAAAGTAGGGTCCCTTTTAGGGTCCTTTTCAGAAGGGTGCCGTACTATACTGGGAACCCAAAGAGGGACCCTAATTTGGAGAACAACCCTTATGGAAACATAAGAAGACCCTACAACATCCGGTAGGAAAATCCCTCTAATCCGCATTCCAAGATGCCCTTACGTGAATCCGAAAAACTCGGGGGAAGCCCGAAAGCCTAAACCCTCATGCGAGAGTGTAAACCCTGATAACGGTAAACCGCAAGCAATACCTTTTCTCTACCTCTCTCTCTACGTATATATGTATACACACCATATGGTGCTTAAAAACAAAACACACACATATCTATATGTGTACACACACACATATATGTATATATATATATATATATATATACATATATATATATATATGTGTGTATATATATATGTGTGTATATATATGTATATATCTATATGTACGTGTATATATATATATAAACCCTAAGCCCTGGCAGCCCTCCTCGCAGGCAAAGGGGCCTTCGCCCAAGAAGGCAGAGAAGCCTGCGCCGCTTCAGATCGTTCAAATAGACCTGACGGAGAACAAGGCAAGAGACAAGGTTTCCGGATTTGAGGGTTTCGATTCTGTAGGTCCAGATTTGAGGGTTTCGATTCTGTAGGTCCGGATTTGAGGGTTTCGATTCTGTAGGTGTCCAGGGATTTATCCTGTTGTCTATTCTTATTCCGAAGCGTCGGATTGCTTGTGGGATGTTGCGACAGAGGTTCAGGGGAGGGGGTTGGCCACTCAAAGGTTCAAGAGTGAGGACCCAGAGAACCCAAGAAAATCTGAGGTATATTCGTATATATATATATATATTACTTATAGGGGCCTTAATATGGTGATTTAAGATTTAAGGTATATTCCTGTATATTATGATTTACGGCCGTTATCTAAGCGGGCAGGAGATTCCACAGCGTTGCATTGTCTCAAGTTCAAGGTTAATATCGGGGCCTTAATAGTTAGAACAGGATT